CCATTTTGATATTTTTTTAAAACATACCGTCTTTTTTTTCCTTGAAGATTTTACCTGTATTTTGCTTGTTCTCTTGTTCGTCCTTGGCATAGCCATACAACACTAATATACAAAAAAAATATGCATCGTAATAGGGTCAACATAATCATGGGGATAGTTTTTAAATGTACTTGTTTTTTCTGCTTGTGTATCTTTGACTACCATTGTAGTCGTCATTAGAATAAATGAAATGGTCAGTAAAAAATGGATGATTTAAAAATTCAATGAATGATCAGTAAATTATTTAAATGATGAATTATTAAAACAAATGTGCTTTGTGATGTCTAAAAAACAGCAAAATTCAAGTAAATTATAATTATGAAAATCGAATTTTGTCGTTGTTTCTTCTAACAGATGATACAAAGATGACAAAAGAACCAATAGAAGAAATTAAAGTGCTTCAATCATCAGATGCTATAACTGTATTCAAATTATTATCAATACTATTTGTGAAGAACTGAAACATTAACAACAAGGAAAACTCGGTTAGTATTAATTATTTTTGTCGTTTTAATAATGCTGGGTTCGGGTGAAATGATGGTTGTCTTGACTGTGTACAACTATATGCATCAAACACAAACAACGTCTTCGAGGCAAGAAAAAAAATGTTGGAACAGTTAGAGAACATCATATTTTACTAATATTTTTGACAATAGTTTCATATATTGTCGATAATGGGTCGATTGAACGACATTCTTCCTCAATCATCTTAAAAATATTTGCAATTACGAACTTTAACGCATCAATGGGTTAAATCGATCAAAGATTTAATTTGTGTTTCCAATGTTTTTTTTCAAAAAGCATATGCTATACCAGCTCGTGACTTATAATCGAAGATACAAGTCAATTTACGTAGATAATTTTAAAAGTAAGAAGGCAACAAATTTTACTCCATTCAAAGAAATATTCGATATTTGATGTATGTAAATGAAGAAGAATTCATATTAGCTAAAAATCAAAATGCAGTTGCCCAACCTTATTCTAAAAATTGTTCATATAAATACGTTGGTATAGCCACTCGTTTGAAATTTTGAAAGCCACCAGCAGTGCCACAAGCAGCATCAATCGGTGTGAAAAAAAATTAGATCACCAAATATTTAACTGGTATTGTTAGAACAATGATTAGATTCTCTTTTTGTTTTATTTTCTTTTGTTTGTTGTTTAATCGTTGGATTACTATTTCTTGTACTTTTCTATTTCTTGTCTTTTATTTTTTTTTTGTTTCTTTATAAATTCATTTTTCTTATATTAAATTGATCATGATTCGAATAAAACTTATTCTTTTGAGGCGAATAAAATCTGTATTTTTATCGATCTAATTTGGAATTTCTATTGACAAAGTTTGAATTTTCCACTGACTTCTTTTGAAAAGGTTGATCCTTTTCGTACAAACTATTCCTTATTTCCGATGATGATTGTTATACTTTTTTACTAACCATCTCATTCATTTTACTGATGACAAATCGTATTTCTGAAATCTTATAACTGTTTAGCTTGTTCTATCATTCATTGCTTATACAGCTAAACGATACTCATAAAAAAACGAACAAATGTTCATCAAAATGTAAGAGCGAAATATAGATAAGATTACTATGACGTAGTATGTTTTTTTTTGTTGGACATTTGACCTTTATTGTGCTTGTTCTCTTATTCATCTTTTGCACAGCTATACATTGCTGATACACAAAAAATATGCATCACAGTAGGCCCAAAACAATCATGATATTTTAAAAAGATGCGCTGTTTATTTCTCCTTGGACATTTTACCTTTATTTTGCTTGTTCTCTTATTCGTCTTTTGTACATCTATACAATGCTGGTACACAAAAAAAATATGCATCATAGTAGGTCCAAAACAATCATGATATTTTTGAAAACATACGCTGTTTATTTCTCCTTGGACATTTTACCTTTATTTTGCTTGTTCTCTTATTCGTCTTTTGTACATCTATACAAATGCTGATACACAAAAAAATATGCATCACAGTAGGCCGAAAGTAATCATGATATTTTAAAAAGATGGTTTGTTGTTTTTTGGATCGGAAATCGATTTTTATTTTATTGCATATTTTTACTGTTCCTTATATATATATATTTATTTTCTGTATATCTTTATTCAACAAATAAAACTAAATAAAAACAAACAAACGAAATAAAAAATATAAAGATGAAAACAGCTAATGTTATTTTTTAATACACCACGTGGTATTTCGGTATCTATTCTCAGACACCATCATCAAACGTAACCGAAAAGAAACAATTCCATTTATATGAGATTTAGTAAAATATTATATATTATATTAATAAAATGTATAAACACATTAAAATAATTATTAAGGGGGAACCCCCCCTCAGAAAATCGATTTTTCTTGAAAAACTCGATTTTTGAAAAAACACATATTCTAGTAGCCCTGAGTGTCCTCTTTCAGAATATGTATAAATTATATAAGAATGGAACATATTTTGCCGAATTCTGGGGCGTCTATTGGAAGTCATAGTGGAAAATCGACTGTTGTGTTGATTTTTTTTCCTTAGTTACCGGTAATTAATATCGTTCCATGTTCTTTATCAGAAGTATAAAACCATCGACGTATCAAGTAATCATGTTCTACCTGTTGCAGTCAGAGAAGGAAGCTTCAAAATTAGGTTATTTTTCGAAAAGGTGGCGCTACAGTAAACTTGGATTTAGAAATTAGCTTAATTTTTTCTTGAAAGCATCATCAACTGCAAGACCTTTTTACACACTTTCCAATGATATATAATATGCTCCAATTTTTTACACAGGAACATCATCAACTACTTCGCAATGTTGTTATTCGTTTTTCTCAGCTTCACTTTTTTATCGTTTACTGATCACTGTGGAACATTTTCCCAGTCCACTGTTTGACGTACGCTGCTGATATTTTTTTTATTCAAAAGATGAGACTTTTTTCTAGAAATTGTGGGAACAGATTTCTAAAATATATCTCCGTTGTTCAGATATTAGAAAATCTTTGGAAGAGATCAAAGCAGTTTTTTCGATTGTCGATTTAAAATGATCACTACTATTGAACAAAGATGAATTTCAAAAAACTGTCCCCACAATTTCTAGATATAAGATTTTTCTTCATTTTGAAACAAATTTCAACATTTTCCATGCTATCGCGCCTCGGGAAAATGTTCCGTGCCAAAAGCCCCATTTTCATGAGTAAATTGAGTATAACTCCTCAATTATCAAAAATGATTGGTTCAAATTTTTATCAGATGCTAGTTACATTAGCTTTTCTATTTCCTGAAATTTTCATCGAAATCTCTTGAACCGTTTAGAAGATAGGTTTCTGAGGGGGGGGTTCCTCCTTAAGTGAATTACATTATTGTGAATCAACTTAAAAAGAGAGAAACAGGTCCATTATATTGCTGTGTAAATATAATAACAAATATTAAAATAAATGGACAAATACATATAAACGAAATAAAAAATATAAAGATGAAAACAGCTAATGTTACTTTTTAATACACCACGTGATATTTCGATATCTATTCTCAGACACCATCAGCAAACGTAGCCGAAAAGAAACAATTCCATTTATGTCAGATTGAGTTGAATGTGTTTCATTTAAGGAGAGGTAATGCAGTAGCAGTTTGAGAAGTTGGTGTTAGTATATTTTCATTTCATGGAAATTTTTGGACAGAAAATAATTTTCGCGTAGAATGTGTGTGGGTTTGCGTTGCACTTAGTGTTTTGGCGTTGCTGAATGGTCTGGTGAATGATGATAGAATATTGCGATGAGTAGATTCGTGGTTGTGTTCCTGTCAGGTGTGGTGGGTCGTTGGGCGAACTGTGGTTGTGTATTTTTGTTCATTTGTGAAATATAATGTTTGATTGAGCTGATGTTTTTTGGTGGAAAATGATGGCCTAGAAGTAACATTAGAGTAAGTGTTTTTAGGCAAAGGTAAGATGGAATGCATGTTAATAGAAGTGATTCTATGCTTTCAAATCAACGGAGGAAAGCAGAGTATCTTGTAGTAGCGAGAACATTGTTTTGGTTTGTGGAAGTATTAGGGTTGAATGTTGATTGGAATGGATGAGGTGCCGAATTGAGATCTTTATAAGTTATGTTATGGCAACCTGATTTTTACACTGATGGATATTTCTGTTGCGTGTTGCCATTGTTTTAGTAATCGACGTTTCTTTTCTGATGGTATTTTTCACCGTTTAATGTGCGTTAGAAAAGAACATTCCATGTGGTCTTTTTCTTACTTATCAGTTTTCATGGTATTTATTATAAATACTTTATGGTAGTTCTGATTCATCTCACTGATTTTCTTCATAACTGAGTAGTGCCGAGATTGCAAGATTCGAGTAAGTGAAACTGTTAATAACTTTTTTGGTTTTATTGTTGTTGGTGATAATGACATTAGCTGACAATATGAGTATTGGTGGTTACCTGAATTACCATTACGGTCGCAATACAGTGATGTTATACCATTCTACAAAAAAATGCTCATGACCGCTATCAGCCGTTAGTACTCGATTTAATGTTTCTGAAATATTGCCGATCGAACGACCTTATTCCTAGGTTTTTGTGGTTTCAAACTGCAAATGATAGACTCGCGAAGTCTTCTGCGTACAGAGAATGTCAAAGACGTCTTTTATGAGGTGAAATTGATTTTAAGTACCGTGATCTACGTATTTTGAAAAAAAATTACATTTATCATCTGGATGAATTAAAGAAACATATCCCTGACAACGTGTTTCAGCACGTTTCCAACTATATTATTAATCGTTCACGTGCAGTATCATATGTGAAAGAAGGTAACTTACAAAGAAAGATTGATTCATTTCGCGCAGGTCGTAGAAGAGTACCACGTGTTGATCTAAATGTTGTAAAAAATTTATCATCTCGTACATTGTCATATGATGGAACTAAATGTCTTGCCCATGGATTGGATTATGGCCTTGTTCCTAAAAATATTCAGGATATGAATATTGTTAGTATTATTAAAAATGGTTTTCAGCGAATAACTGATATTTCTCAGCATCATAAAAAGATGATGTCAGAGGTCAGTGAAAAAGATACAGTTGACAGTTCTGATGTTCGTGTTCTTGATTCAAAAGAAATGACTTTGGCAAGCAATTTTCGTTCTATAACTGATTCATTTCGTCGTCAAGCATATCGTTTTGCTCAGTTACAGAAGAGAATTAATACTGAGCAGCACAAATATCGTCGTTTATTACGGAACTTGAAGAATGATAAATCGATTTTGGTTACTCGCCCAGATAATGGCAGAGGTGTTGTGTTGTTAGATAAAATCGACTATTTATCAAAAATACATAATATACTCAATGATACAACTAAATTTTCATTTTTATCATATGATCTTACAATTACTCGAGAAACTAAATTAATTAAATTGTTGAACCGATTACTTGATGAAGGTAGTATTTCGAAAGATTTCTATATTTTGGCGAAGCCATTTGGTTCTATTCCTAGTCGTCTTTACGGATTGCCGAAAGTACATAAGGAAGATGTTCCACTTCCACCGGTTGTGTCAGCTATTAAAATATTCAACTATGATCTTGGGAAAGCTCTGTCACGGTTATTATCACAATTTATCGAGAAAACAAATATGATTCGTGATTCGTTTTCTTTTGTTGATGAATTACTCGCACTACCAAAGTGTATGTCTCAGTACAAAATGGTATCTTTTGATATTGCGAGTCTCTATACAAATGTACCACTTACTGAAACAATAGATATAATTCTCAAACATTTATATGATGGTCATGCTAAACCTCCTACGATTAGTCGAGAAGATATGAAGGAGCTACTTGATTTAGCAACAGAAAAATCTCATTTTCTCTTTAATGGACAATTATATGATCAGATCGATGGAGTTTCAATGGGGTCTCCCTTAGCTCCGCTGTTCGCTGAAATTTTTCTACAGAACTTCGAGAAAAAATACTTATCGTCTACTGAAAATATGGGTATCGTTTACTGGAAGCGTTACGTGGACGATACTTTTGTTTTATTCGACCCGAAATTTTCTGTTAACGATGTGTGTCATACTCTATCACAGTACCATCCGTCGATTAAATTTACTGTCGAAAAAGAAAAAAAGATGAAGATGAAAAGAAGAAAAAAAGAAAGAGAAAGAACAAGAACAAAAAGAAAAAGGAAAAAAAAGATGGCGAAGAAAAAGAAGACAAAGACAGCAAGAGTAAAAAAGACGCTGAAAAAAAAAGACGATCAAAAAGAAAAAAAAGGAGATCTCAAGCCACAAGTACTACCATTTCTCGATGTCCTGATACGACGCCAACCAGGTGCAGGCTTCGAAACCCGAGTCTATCGAAAACCTACATTCAACAGTCTTACTACTAAATGGGATAGTTTTGTGCCGAAAAATTATAAGTATAGCGCATTATCAACTAAGGTATACAGAGCTATAAAGATCTGCTTGTCATATGCCGCTCTACATCAGGAATTCGAATTTATTCGATCATTAGCACTTAGAAACGGATATCCTAATTCCGTCATAGATTTCATCAGCAGACGTCAACTTAACCTTGTGTACACTCCTGCAACTTCTAAATCAGCAGCATCACCCACCACTGATACCGTTGTTCTTCGCGTACCTTATTTCGGACCACTAAGTCAAGTGTATGCGAAACGGATTATCTCCGCTACTAATAAGAACTACCCACTAAAACACATTAGACTTATATATGACGTGCAAGAACGTGTAGGAAGTGGTTTTATTTTGAAAGATCAGATACCCGCACCGATGCAAGCAGGAGTTGTTTACGAAGCCACTTGTCCAGAATGTGAAGTTCATTACATCGGTAAAACTTTTCGCCATTTTAAAATCCGAGTACACGAACATCTCAATTATCAAAAGCAAGAATTATGTTTAAAAAAAATTCAAAAATCGAAGCATACCGTCAAACGAACCAGATCCATCATAAAAACACCTGTCGAACGTAAAGGACCAATTACCAGGTCACAAACAGGGAAATTATCAACCACAAGAATTGCATCCATTCAGGAAGACATCGGCAAATTCGTGAAAAATCCTGAAATACTAGAAAAACGAACAAAACAATCTATACCGAAAACGGCCATAGCTAAACATTACTACACGACAGGCCATACATTTTCAAATAATGACTTCGTTATTCGACTACAAGAGAGATACAAATATAAACTTTCGATCAAACAATCTCTATTAATTAAACAAAAAAAACCAGACCTGAATAAGGGAATCAGATCAACACCACTCTACATATACGCCGATGGAATAGAACGAAACAACAAACAAAACAACACACAACGAATCGCTTCTGATACGGCCATCCCTATAACGAATCATGAGTAATTGAAAAACAACACATACATCCATCTATATCTCTCTACACAATAACCAGAAAAAAGTATGGGTCATTGATACAATATAAACACTACATATGCCTATCGGTACCCTGTCTTCTCCATCATATCTGCGTATGTTCGCGTCAACATAAACATTCCTATTTCTTTAAACACAAAACTGGAATTTCAACACTGACTGCTTACTCACCTTCTCTAAACTGAGTGACATATACAATACAAAAAAAAAGACCATACCATATAATCCAATTCAGATAATCCTAAACATATAAACACACAAAATATAGACACCATATAATCCAACTCTTGGCTCATCATTAAAACATTCGTTCGAAAATAAAACCAACACTATAGTATGTCGTGAGATATAATACCTATACACATTAACAATAATTCAGCTACCTGTCTGATGATGGCGTCTGAGAATAGATGCCGAAATATCACGTGGAATAATATTTAGCTGTTCTTATTGTATTATTTTTTATCTTATTTCAAAATAGATTTTATTTTGATACAATTAATATTTGGAGATTTTCTTTTATAATACCTGCAGATAATATTCTCGACCAACAATATGAGCACTGAAACATACATCAGTGAAAGCCTAAAGAAGTAAAAGATATACTATATTATCTATGAGAATTCATTTTAATATTTCATGATGAAATTTATTGATTTTGCTTTGATCGTTATTCCTTCGCAATTATAACAAAGAGTTTTTTTTTTCATTAATGTTCTACTACTTATTTTTTCCAAATAAATTTTAATCTTACGTGTAAATTTTGATAATTTGAAAAAAAGAACTAAAAAGAATATTTAACCATAGATTTAAAAAAAAGCTCATCCAACAACCCAAATACAACTTCACTCGATTTTACTCATAAGAAACAATTCAGAAAAACTCCTGCAATATTAATTCACTATTAAATCATCACTATGAAATTTCAATACAATTTTTTTTTCTTTAAAGATTAAGAATAAATGATTTAAGTAAATACTTACAATGCATCAGCAATTCTATATGATGAACATACACTTAACCTAAAACAAGTTAACCTTCATATAGTCATACATATTGATTTTCCTTGTGCAATACTTGTCATTGATAATAAAGTCTAATTATTAACTTTAGTTGAATAACGTGCATTAATTAAAGTACAAAAAAACAGCAAAAACTGTATATGCAAGTATTTGAGGATATAATTGTTGTGTTGATGCAGCAAATTCTAAAACTATTTTATTCATTAAACAATCCGATAAACCAAGATGTGCAAGTAATCATGGTAATGTTGATGATTGTTTAGTACGTGCATATTATTCTGCAACAAGTTCAACAAGAATATTATCTGATGATGATATTATTGATGAACTATGAATCATTCTTTGTTCTTCATTAACATGTTCATTTTTTAATGAATTTGTATTTTCATTTGGTCGTTGTAATAATGTATAAATACGTGCACGTATTTCATATAAACGCCATACATCATTTTTAGGATATTGACCAATTATTAAAAGTCTTTCAAGACTAGTTGATATAATTTTTTGTGTTAAATTATCATTTTATATATTATTATTTAATTCTTCTATTATATAATTTATTTAAGTAAACCTGATGACTTTCAAGTAAAAATAAACATGATGCATATGCATGAATATTAGTTAATTTATAATTGTATTCAATTAAACGTATATATAATTGATTATATTGTCATTTTGTTGTTTATTGAAGTAATATACCAGATTTACATAAATTATAACTTATTAATAATATTATTAATTCATCAAATAAATTATATAAATATAATTGATGAAAATAAATCCGCAAGATATATAAATGAATCTATTAATTCATACTGTAATTGAATACAAAAATTATTTGAATTTTGTTGTTAACTAATGAATATATAGTTCAATTAGAATTTGTAATGAAGATGTTAAATCAAGACTATGAGAAGAAAATAAACTCTAAATTATATATTTTTAAAGGTGAATGCCAGCGAAGGAAATGTTTATATTCTAGTTTTCTGATTGATAGAAAATATTTCTCATATTTTAGACTTTATTAATAGAATACAAGTAATCAGCATATATGTGAAATTATTGATAAATATTAGATTTTTTGTTTGATGAAATTAATACTTTACCAATAAATTTGCTTTTCTCTTAACTTAAACTTCTGTATAATAAAGTTTAAAATTCTTTCGATAACTTTTTTTTTCTACATTTATGTTGAATATTTAATATTAATAGAAAAACAAGTTCTACTTGTCAATTCTTAAAACATATATGAACTTCCATTAACTGTTAATGGTAATTTCGTATTACTTTGAATTGATATTAATATAGTATCATATGAAAGTTGTGCATAGCATAATAAATCGCGTGTACCTAATCGTTCAATATTTAAAAAAACAATTATTTAAACTTTTATCTAATATTGAACGCGTTTGCATATATTGATCACTGATTAAAAAAAAAAGAACAGATACAATCTAATTTATTTTAGAATTTTTTATTAAATTATTTGTTGTTTGTTCATTTTCATCATTAGATTGATTTGTGGTGGATTAATTGAACACTAAAATTGAAACTTTTATTTCTTGACATTATATTTTTGATAATCAACCAACTCCAAAATTGTCTTAATATAAATATAACTATACAACGTATATCATGTCAATAAATAGATGATATATATATTTAATTTTTCTTGTTAAATAATAAAGATGATCAAGATCATTAAATAATAAAAGTAATAATTGATTTATGTATTTGATAGAGTTAAATCATGTTGTTGATAAAGATATTCAAATATTGATAATAGTATTATGAATAATGTACAACATATGATATTATTTCATCTTTTTCACAACTAAGAAATGATTTTGTTTTTAAAATATATTTATATAAAATATTTCTGATATAAATATTATAAAACATAATAAATCATATATATCACCTGTTGAAATTAAGTATACAAAATCCTAGGAAAACAAAAAAACAAAAGATTTATATTGTTTCTTATTTTCTCAAATCAACTTTCATTTACTATAAGAGTCATCTTAAAAATTTTATTCTATTGAAAAAACCTAATACGTTTTTGGAGTCCAGGTATTCAAACCAATAGAAAGTTTGTTGAAATTCTCGAATGCAATTCTATCGTCCGAGAAAGACTTCGTAATGTTTTATAAAAGTTATTTGCTTTTTCTTTAAATAGACCTTCTTCGATCAAAAATCTCGAAATGAATATAAGATTAACATCACTATAGCATCCATAGTCATCGATTCATGATATTTGTTTTGAAGAATATTTCATAATCTTGAAATTTATGATTTCTAAAAATTATTTTCGGTTGAAAATAAATAACACAAGTGAAAACATCTTACGACATATCTTTTAAAACTATTTCATTCTTTTCTTCAATAGTCATTTCATAACATTAGAAATTATAAATAAGTACAGTAGATCAATTAGTTTTATACTTCAAAATATTTTTTCGAAATTTTGAATTATTCAAAAATCTCATCTATTACTAACACATAAACAGTGTCAAAGTAAATCAAATATTTTTCTTTAAATTGGAATGAAATTTTTATTATATATATTTATTTATTTATTTATTTATTTATTTCGATAAATTATACTAAAACATACCGATAACATCATAAATGGTAATAATTTTTTATAAGTTACATTTTTAAGCATTTGTACATCAATTTTTTGTGTTATATCCATACAATTAAGATTATTAAAATCTTCTTTAATAATATCGATTGATTTTGGTATTGATAATATTTATAAAATTAATGGTAAATATTGAGATAATAATTGTTTATTTAATGTTTTGTTGATGAAGTATTAACATGATTTCAATACGATCATAAACAATTAATTCATCTAAATGTAATACAGATATACACGTGTATATATGATAATGAAATAAATTGTTCAATAAATAAAACTAAAACAAGACCATTTTCATCTAAATGTATTTCTTCATAAACGAATAAATAATTTGCAACTTATGTATGATGTATAAAACCAAATAAATTATGTACAAATATCATGTTGTTCAAAAAAAGAAAGAATAATTGATAATGTGTTATTATTGATGTTCGATATTTAACATATAATTCATGATAATATATTAAACCACAATAAGATTGTAATTGATCACTTATAGATAAATGTGTTATTAATGACGATAGTGTTACTATTGGTGACCATCATGCTTCTTAGTTATAATCAAGCATATTAAGAGTATGTATTCATTGTAATAATAATTTAAAATATTCAGTTAAAATAGTTAAGTATGAAAATGTATCAAGACGATGTATAATTTCATCGTGAATCATAATTGACGAAAATCATTTACAATTGTTCGAGATTGTTTAGTTAAAATAAAAACATAGATCTTTAAAAAGCATAGAACTTTTAAAGTCAACTATTTTTCGCTACTTCATTAGGAATTACTGAATTAAAGGAAAGTTTCATGTTCAAATTAATGGATGATATGTTACTATTATATAGATTATAATCAAAGCTTAAACTCTTTTGACTTTCATAGAAATCAGTTATTATCTGTTCAGGTAGTTTCTTATTCATAAAGTTTCAAACCGAAATTTTTAAATTAATAATAATTGCTAGACTATTGTATTCATGTTTATAAATACACTATTATTTTGACTGATTACCATTTTCCATAATAGGCAAACATACATAAAGATTATTGAATGTAAGAGAAACTAATGTCATATCGATTTGATCACGTATTTGTTGAGTATTAGTTAAAATTTGAAGAAGAGTTCTAAAAAGAAAAACGAGAATAGCAGTTTTTAACACATTCGACCCGATTCAGTTTTCTTAGAAAATTTTTTCGAGATGTTCATCTTCACAGAGAGTTGACTTCTAACAAATGCACTTAATGACCTTTTCGTTATCTTCTACTGATCATTTATCCTTCTCTTCTTTATACCATTACATAATGAGTCACTTTTTTCTGACCAACTGAATAATCGCTCGGGTTACTTTTTCGTTCTTTTTCATATTATGCGAAGCATGCGCGAGAAAAAGAAGGAACTTTCCAGCTTTTTTTTCCTTATTCTTTACTAGGAACACTACGCTGCAAGTAAAGTGACCATTCTGCAGTTTCCTGAAAGTCTTGTCCGGTCTTTACTGCTTGGCACGCCAATCGAGAAGCTGAAACCTGGTCCAAGACAACAATCGGGAAGTCATTCGAAGCGCAAACTCGCTGATCACAAGCTCAAAGAAAAATAAGGATCTATGCGCAATGTCGGCAGACGGTGCACTGGCTGCTATGTGAAGGGACGAGCCCAACAGTCAAAAGAAGCCAGCTGTGCGGCAGCAAAGAAAGTAAAAACTTTCTGTTCGGACTGTAATAATTTTTTTTGTCTTGAGTGTTTTAATGATAAGCATGTTACTATGGAGTAAAGAACTCAAACAAAATGCTAAAGGCAGCACAGTTGACTCCTTATATTTAGCCTCCTACTTAAGAAAAAAGCAACAGGAAATGCTTTTCTATACAGTTTTTCGTTAAACTATAGCGTAGCCCACTGGTGGGCTACATCGGATCGAATGTGTTAAATTACAAATAAAATCCTTTCAAATACTTACAGGATAAACGTTTCATTTCGTGTTCCATTAACTAATGACAAAATGACATTCTATCGTGTTAAAATAGCATCTTCAGTTCAATTTTGTACAAGACATCGAAGTATTATATTTCTATTCATTAAACATTGATTTGTAGATTGATCGTTGACATTCTAAGAAAAACTTTTTAAACTACAGGAAAATTTCATAAGTAGAAACAACGAGCAGTTCTATTTACTAATGTTCAAAAAGCAACAACAAATCGATCAATTAATTGTAACGGAACTGATGATATAACATCAAATAGTGTAAATTCTATGGAATAAATATCCAAAAGCAATTGAGCCTATTTAAAAAGAAAAAGTAATGTATCATCGGAGATTATTGAAAAAATAACCTTACATCAACCAATAGTAATATGTAAATGTAAATGAGCAAGAAGAACATCGATAATTTACCGTGAATGTCGTTTCCATTTATCACCTTCATGTCGAACGTTATCAACAATAACTATTACAAATCGTAAAACGTATCACAATATAAATTCTCTCATTAGTTTTTCAGTACATGTACATTACATGCGAAACACACTTTTATTAATAATAATTTTAAAGGCGCACAGTTTTGCCTAAAATTAATCGTTGCGGCATCTTTTATCAAATACAAAACTGAAGATTACTGTCTCAAAATCTTCGTGAGTTCCGAGAATCAACGAAATGGTTATTTCGACACCATTGATTCGTTGAACTGCCAGTGTGAGTTCAATTGAGGAGAAAAACTACACCTGCGTACCCACACCCACAGCATCTCGCTGATATATTAGTTAAGAACACACGGGAAGTATAGATTTTCGGCAGGTTATTTTGGTGACTGTGTTTTTTGAACGCTCACAATGAACAGTATGTCGTTGTGTACTGTTTGGCGACTATGTAGCAGTTACTTATGTTCTTTTGTGGCATTTGTGAGGCTTCAAAGATAGTGTGAAGTCGGAATTGTTCGGAATGGGTCGTTTGGTTGCGTAGAGTTGGATAGAAATTATGTGTGAACAGTAACATTTTGAAAGGTTGAATAGCGTTCTCGTGGGTTTTGTCACTGCGATTGATTATTATGTCACTTGTCAGTTAGCAGATTCGGATGAATTTTCGGTTTGTCGTGTACATCTGCATGTGGCATAGCTTGTGGTAGTGGATGTGAAATTGGGATAGGGCGAGGAAGGAAAAGAACTTGTCATGCTGCTCATGTTATCAGAATCTTAGGAATCGGTGTCGGTACTTCGGATTATGTTTTGCATTGCAGGAGAATGTTTCTTGCAATGGATGGTGTGTCTTAGAGTGTGGTTTTCAAATGAGTGCTACACCGACACTCACCCAGATGTCGGATCCTGGATGGATAGCTTTTGTTGTATTGCTTTATTTAGAAATGATTCCTAATTATCATGTGTATTCAAATATTTCGACACATCACTTGATTACTTCATTAATGAACGCATGAAAAATCTTTCCGCAAATACAACAGATACGATAGATTTTGGAGATTAAAAGAACAGGGACAAAATGTTATTCATAAAACAAATAATTAGCAAACCATAAAGTATTTATTTATTTGTTTGTTTTCTAGAGTTTGCAATAGTATCTTTTTTAAACCGACTGACGTCAAAAGAAAAACTCTTTCACATCAGAAATTATTCAACAATTCAATGCTAATCATCAGGTGCCTACTAACAAACATCGTGTAGTATCGATATTTCGATCAATGTCTCTCATTTTTTTTTAATATTAAGTAAGACATGTAACTGATTATCTGTAAATTTATTGCTAATAAAGAGCAATTGAGATTCAGCTTTTATTTTCATCTTTAAGAAAATATACTGTTGTCAAACCAAATGATTAGTAATTTGTTTTATATTTCCCCCTTTTCCCTTTCTTTTCAATTTTCAGCCTGTCACAAACCACAAATATTATTCTTATAGTAAACAAATTGAAGACGTCAATATTTTATATGAATTTTATTTAGTTGACATTATATAGTGTCAGTTGTTTGATAATTATCTCTTGTCTTTCTGAATTAAGAATGAAATGTAATTGATCATCTTTAAACGTATGAATAAACAAAACTATTCATGTTTAGTTTTTATCATTATTATCTTTAATAAAAAAACAATACACTATTCCCAAACAATATGATTATTCATGATATTTGAAATTTTTTTTAAGCCTCATTTCTACATTTCTTTCCTTCCCTTTTCTGATGCTTTTTTGGTCGGACATAACAGAAAAAATTTTTCTCTGATAATAAACTAAATTGCGAAAAGTCAATATTCCATGAGTTTGATTTAGTTAACGTCATACAGTATCAATTGTTTGAGTATTATCTCTTGTCGTGCTATAGTGAGAATGAAATATAACTGATCATCTATAAAGTTGTCGATAAGAGAAAACAATTGATATTTAACTATTATTATTATTATCTTTAAAAAAAGAAACGATTCTCAGATGATATCATTACTAATGACATTTTATACATTTTTTAAATTGTCATTTCTTCCACTTTCACTCTGGAGCATCTTAAATCTAATAATGATTTAAATAAAACAAGCTACTGATCTCTACATCTTTGTCAATCTAATGATCCCTTTCAAAGAAATATGCAACTCTACATCTCAAAGTCACTATATATTTTGAATCGAAATGATAAAATCTGTGATTTCACTACTCTGCATAAATTGCTACTGCAATCAAGTTCAAATGTGTCTAATAACTTAAATTTCGAAAACCTAAATTAAATTGTGTTTGGCATAATCATCTTCAGACAACCACTAGACTTATTAATAACAGAGAAGACAACTAAAATTCAAAATTCAAATCATCATACTTTGGAAAGCACAAAAACAAAACTCCAACCACGCTCTCAATTACTAGTAACATCTCGCAATCCAACTTCCATTCATACGAACTAATCATAACAAATTAAAATCCACCCTATATTTTTCTTACTCGAGTCATCCACACAGCAAGGCTCAACCAGAAAACAAAACAACTCCTCAGTCACCCATCTTTTATTTTACGAAAATCAAGACATTTTGTTCTCTTTTTCACATGAAATACAGAATGTCAAAAAAAAGA